ATATATTTTATTCATTATTTTTATTTTATGTGTATCCGTGTATTGCCTGCATGTAGGTAAGTGCACCCGTGTCGTGCAATGCCCGCGAAGGACAGAAGGGGACATCGGATCCCCTGGAACTGGAGTTACGGACAGTTGTTAGCTGCCATGTGGGTGCTGGGACTCAAACCTGGGTCCTCTACAAGAACAGCCAGTGCTCTTAACCGCTGAGCCATCTCTCCAGCCCCCTGCATTTATTTATTTAGTGTATTTGCATGTGTGTGGCATGTGTGTGGAGGTCAGAAGACAACTTGTAGGAGTTGGTTCTCTCCACCACATGGGACCTAGGGATCGAACTCAGGCTGTCAGATTGGTGGCAAGCACCTTGAACCGCAGAACCATCTCTCAGGTCCCTTATAACCATCTTATTCCATGTGATTCAACCATACTCAGCATATTCACAATGCTACACAACCAATACTACAGGCTATCTACTTCCAGAAGGTCACCACCTCAAAAGGAAACCCTGTCCGGTAATACCCACTTCCCACTCCTTCCTGCCTTTGCTTGACAACCACCAATCTACCCCTTGATTGGTAAATCCACTGTGGGTGGACCCGGCCGGGCAACACAAATGGAACCGCGCACTTTGTGCACATGGTGTGTTTGGCATCTGGTGTGGTTCACTCTGCCTGATGGTTTCCAGGGTCCCCCACATACCTTTCCATGGCTGAGTAATACTCCAGAGCGTGCCTAGACTACATTTTCTTTACACATTCATCAGGTGGTGAACATCAGGTCATTTCTGCCTCTCACAGCTGTGACAGGGCTACTGTGAGCATTCCTGTCCAGGTGACTGTCTGGGCTTGTGACTTCTCTGGGGGTATGCCTAGGAATTGGACTGCTGTTGGGCACCTTTTAGCTATGTCCAGTGAATGCAACAGGCAGCTCTGTAGTTCTCCTAAGTGGCAGAATAAGGGGAACACTCTAGGTGAGGGTGAGGTGCTTCTGTGCCTCTTGGAAAAGCCTCCTTGCTCCTCACGTGGAAAAGTGGAAGTGATGGAAGGGGTACGAGGCGGCCCAGGCGTCACTTCTACAGCCTGCTGGGCCACATCCTCAGGGTTCTGGTGATAGGCACTCCTGACCTGCAGCTGCACCTGGGTACACGGCTGGGTGGTGCTTGCATGTGTGCGTGCATGCGTGTGTCCAAAGGTGTACGCTCCAGGACTGGGGTGCTGAGGGGGCTGTGTAGTGTGTAGTTTCCTTAAATTCTGGCTTAGGCCCATAGCAGCATCCCGCATGGTGGCCACTTGTACATTAAGAGAATGCAACCACGGGCGGTCTGTCCCCGGCTCTGACCTCTGTCACCTCGCCTGCCCAAGGCTCAGCTCAGGACAGGTCCTACCTGCCAATCTGCCCAGCCAGCTCAGTGGCCCTGCTTCGAGTCTCCTGGGAGGAGTTCTCACTGGCCATGGAGCACGTAGTGAGTGTGCATCCACAGAGCTCCTGGGGGTCTTGAGGGGTGTAGGTGCTCTCATCCACCAGGGCTTGAACATCTGCCAGCACCTGCGAATCTGACACCACCACGGAAGGTTGAGAATCAGCAGCCTCACGTCACAGCCACTTCCCGAGTGCCCGTGCAGCTAGCCCTGGCTATCTCCCAAGGGCCTGTGAGGCTAGCTCCAGTCATCTCCCAAGTGCCTGAGCAGCAAGCCCCAGGATAAAGTGCTTGTGCATCTAGCTCTGGTTGATTACCTTAGGGACCATGATGTTAGCCCAGTCTATTTCCTAGAGTCCTAAATAAACATTCCCAGTTTCTCTCCCCAGTGCACAAGGACCCTGGTGCCTGCACACTGGACTGAAGTCCACAAGGCACGCTATGTGCTAGGCTAACCTGCTGCTCTGTGCTGAGCTAACCCACTGCTCTGTGCACACTAAGACTGTTCAGTGCTACAGCACTCCTGGTGGGTTGAGGATTTGAAAGAGGCTATCTGACCCCAAAGTCTGTGTTCTCTCCCCAGGGCCACACTGTGAACAGATGGTGGCAGGCAGAGCAGGCCAGCTAAGACCAGCCCAGGCTGCTGCAGGAACAGGAGCGTTGACATCTGTACCCAGCCAGGAAGCCTCCTTCACCCACAGTCCCATGACCTGGGTTTGTCCTCTGCTCCCTCCCTGCCTCCTGACCCACCCTGAGCCCTCAGGTCCAAAGATAGGTGTGTCACCTACTTCCTCCTCTCACAGCATTGCAGACCTGGCGGCACATGGAGTAAACAAGGCAGGCATTGGCTGCACTGTCCGCACCGCCACTCGGGCAGGAAAAACCCGGCCTGGGAGGAGGCGACCAAGCACTGTGTAAGCTGAGCTGCAAAGCAGGACGTGCCATGCCAAACCCCAGGCCAGCGCCACCCTGCAGGCCCTAGAGCCCCACAGAATTGCCAGGAGCTCAGTGCCACCCTGGGGGTGAAAAACACCCCACATATTCTAGAAGTTTCCTAGAGAGAAAGAGACCTCTGCTCTGGGCCAAAGGCCACCTCTCCACCTCTAGGATCAGCAGACTAACAGAGGTGTGAGCCCAGAGCTCCGCCTGACCTAGACAGCTACAGAGTCCCACGGGAGGCAGAGCAGGCCATGCCCATCTGGCCTTTGGCCAGCTCAGATGCACTCCCCGAAAGGAAAAAGGTGCCATCTGGTGTTAGACTCACACATGCCAACCAGAGGAACATGTAGGGAGCAGGCTAGGAAGGGGACGTCCTACCTGCCCACTGCGTCGTAAGAAGTCCCAGAGCCAGCAGGCGGGCCCAAGACTGCAGGGGAAAGAGCAGAGTCCAGCTTGAGCCTGTCACACACTCGCAGGAGTACACACGCACAGACATAGACACACACGTACACACACAGAGACATAGACACATACACACGTACACACACAGAGACATCGACACACATACACACATGTACATACACAGAGACATAGACACACACACACATATACACACACAGACATAGATACACATAAACACATACATACATGCACACAGATACGCATACACAGCACAGAGACATAGACACACATACACACACGTACATACACAGAGACATAGACACACATACACACATGTACATACACAGAGACATAGACACACATACACACATGTACACACAGGCATAGACACACATAACACATATGTACAGACACACATATGCACACATGTACATACACAGAGACATAGACACACACGTACACACAGAGAGACATAGACACACATACGCACATGTACACACACAGGCATAGACACACATAACACATATGTACACACACAGAGACATAGACACACATACACACACATGTACATAGACACACATGTATACCCACAGAGAAATAGACACACACACATACACAGGCATCGACACACATATACACACATGTACACACAGACAGACATGTACACACACAGAGACATAGACACATACGCACATGTACACACACAGGCATAGACACACATATACACACATGTACATACAGACAGACACATACACACACATACACACAGAGACATAGACACACACACGTACATACAGAGACAGAGACACATGTACACACACAGAGACATAGACACACATATACACACACAGACACAGATACACATAAACACATATACATACATGCACACAGATAGGCATGCACAGACAAACACACACATATATACACACCTAGACACACATACACACACAGACATAGGCACACAGACACACACAGACACATATACATGCATAGACACACATACATACATGCACACATAGGTACACATACATATATACACACACACAGATACACACATATACAGACACATACACAGACATACAGACACACACACAATAAATAAATAAATGTAAAAAAAAGTCTTTTATCTGTTTCTATAAATTCTAAAATATAACCTGAGGAAATAATCAGAGATAGAGAGAAGGATTTAATTTTAACAATGTTCATTGTAGCTATCAATATCAGTTACAAATAAAACTGAATTTCCAACAATAGAGGATACTTGAATACGTTTTCATATATCTAGACCAGAGATTGGCAAACTTGTTCTATGAACAATTAGATAATAAGCATTTTAGGCTTGTAGGTCATATGATTTCTGTTTTAGTGGAGCAACTCAACCATTATGGGGTAAAAACCTACAGAAATATATACATACACCTATATATGTACCTATGTGTATGTACATATATAGATACATATA